ACATAAGGTTGCTACGAGTCCGAACGACTCAACGGCCCCTAACAACAACAAAAACAATAGTAAAAGCCTAGATTTCCTTAAAGAGACTGTTAGCGGAGTTATGGACATCAAAGGCAATTCCGGTGAGGGCTCAGAAGGAAGTGAGCAGAGCTATACAGAAAGTCTCTGTCATTTTAAAGAATACATATGGTGCCAGCAACAGAATGTTGCTAGAAATGTGGACAATAAATGTGCTTCTGGTGAGGCTTTAAAAGTAAATGATGAACATGGGATTGGACTATGGAGGAAGGGCAATGATTTTATGCAGTGGCAAAGAACTTGTCTGAATTAACGTTCAAAAATGTTTGGTGGAAGGTAGAACTTGCAAGTGATGAACTTGGAAATCTGGCTGAAGAGATTTCTAAGCAATATCTTAAAAGGCGCCACGTGGTTTCTCCTTCCTGCTTACAGTAAACTGCAAGAGGAAACAGACTTAAGCATGAACTGTGCAAAATGAAAACAGAATTTAAAGATTCGGAAATTCTGTTGTACAAACTAATGACGTGTGTCCTAGAACATTCACCAAGGACCTGGCTACACAATCTTTTGTTAAAGACATTAAGCTGGTGACTGATGGATCGAAGCAACTACCAAAGCAGAAAACTCATCAGCTTAGACTGAAGGAGACAGACAAGGAACGAAAGGAAAGGATGCTGTCTGCTTCTTGGAATTCTACGGGCGGGAAACAGGCAAAGGAGCTACATCTGTTGTCCTCCAAGAAAAGAAAAGCACCACCCCTGGAGCAGCTCGGAGATCATCAGAACTGTTGGCAGGGGCACAGAAAGCAGGGCCTTCTCGGTTTCAAAGCTGGGGGACATGGTCTTCCAGGTTTCAAAGAGCAGATCTTTGCCAACTCAGTTCCGGAGTGTGGGGCTGCCATTAGGTTGTGCCAGGAGGATGGGGCCACCTCCCATAGCTGAGACGGCAGGGATGCCAAGCCCAAGCTGCAGAAGAACGGGGCCTGCTGGAGCTGAGGGACTGGGGTTGCCATTCAGTTGGACTAGGAGAATGGGGCTGCCCAGAACCGAGGGAGCAGAGTTGCCAACCACATGGGCCTGGAAGGTGGAGCTAAAGCCCAGGGCTGAGGGGCCTCTACCCAGAATTGAGACAGCATGACCAATACTCAGAGTCTGGAGGGTGGGGCCCTTGCCCAGACGGTCCCAAAATACAGAGGATTATTTTCAAGCCTCGAGAGCTAATGTAAACTACTCTGCTGGGTTTTGGACTTGCTTGGTGCCCATTATCCTTCTTTCCCTATAATTTCTCCCATTTATAATAGAAATGTTTATCTAGTGCCTGTTCTACCACTGTATTTTGGAAACATAACTTGTAGTATATATTTCATAGGTTCACAGATGAAGAGGAATTTTGCCCCAGGAGGGATGCCTAAAGTCTCACCCATATTTGATTTAGATGATTCAGAAGATGAGATTTGGGACTTGGAGTGGATTTAAGACCTTTGGGATGATGTGATGGGTGAATGTGTTTTGCATGTGGCATGGACGTGAAGTTTTGAGGGCTAAAAGGTGGAATGTTATGGATTGAATTGTGTCCCCCAAAATTATGTATTGTAAATGCTAACCTCTATGCCTGTAGTTATAACCCCATTTGGGAATGGGTTGTCTTTTTTATGTTAGTGAGACAGAATGAGTGTAGGGTATGTCTTGAGTCAATGTCTTTTCAGATATAAAAGAGATTAAACAAACAAGCAAGAAGCAGAGATGGGGGAAGAGAGAAGTCAACCCACACAGAGATTTCCAAGGAATCAGGGAACAGAAGCTGAAGAGACAAGGACCTTCCTCCAGAGCTGACAGAGAGAAAGCCTTCCCTTAGAGCTGATGCCCTAAATTTGGACATCTAGCCTTCTAAACTGTGAGAAAATAAATTTGCTTGTTAAAGCCACCCATTTATGGTATTTCTGTTATAGCAGCACTAGACAACTAAGACAGGTCTAATCTAAGCATTTCATAGTTTCTGTAGAGATTCTTATACAGTAACAGAAAAGCAAAATCCAAATTCTAAGAACTGAGAAAATTTCTGAACTGTAAAAGTTCAGCCTAAGGCTGATTCCTATGAGGTGGAGGTCAGACATGCCTCCTCTTGCCAACCTTTTCACCAATTCTGACACCAACCGTCCCTCCCACGGTACTCTCTACTTCCTTATTGGGTTCAATAATTCACTGCAGTGGCCACACAGAACTCACAGACCATACTCACAGTTATGGAGTTTATTGGGGAAGTAACAATTCAGGTTGAGGAATGCTCAGAACACAGTTCTTCAATCAGGTCAGCCTCTTCTTAGCTGTGCTGCAGCCAGGCCTCTCTCTGGCTCTCAGCCCCTCGACCCAGCCTCTGCCCACACTGTCTCCTGCCATCTTCTGGTTTTGCTGACTCTGCTGCCATGGTTTCTCTGCCACTGCTTCTCACTGTCTTGCCATCTTCAGTGTTACAGCTCTCTCTGTCTCCTGGGTCTATGAGGGTCTCAGCACAGGGATCCTGGGTCCAAAAGATGCACTCTTCTCCAGTCTTTTCTTCCTGGTGGTAGTCAGGTCCTCCTCTGCTTTGGGATTGGCTCTCTTTTAAGCCTAGCTGGGAAAACTGACCAATCCCCTTGCTAGGGTTCCATACACCTTATTTGCATAGTCCCACACATGTAAGGATGTCATATACCTTATTTACATTATTAGTAAGCTATCCAATTCCCTTGATGGGCCATAAGCACTTCATTTACATAATTTCACCCAGTCATTTGGTGAGTGTTATAAAAACTATGGCTAGAAGGGCCACATTAAATAATTCACTGCACTGCAGGCCACCCCCTGGCTCTTCTAGCCATTAGCCTTTTCATACTTGGAGGATTAACTTCACCCTCCCAATCATATCACCAGTCCAGAACAGTCATTAACAATTAATCCTTCAGTAAGGCAACAAGTCCTCAGGGTGAGGTTACTCAGGTACTAGCCATTCAGGTCAGCTGAACTGGTCAGGCTCTCCAAAAGTTGTCTCATCTTCACTCTGGCCTCTGATAAAATTTAATTAGGAGAAGATTATTCCCTTGTTCTGATCCTCACAAGGTATCAGCATAGCAAAACCTTTAAGGGAATTTAGGTATGGCCAGTGTACTCTAGTCCAGCAGTACCTCCCCCTTAGTCCATTCCTTCACATTTATAGCTTCTACAATTACAGTTTTTATAATCACAGTTGCCCCTGTTAACAATCATTACTCAGAGCTGAACCATATAATCCTATCAGCACCTTCCCCCATCCTGGCTATTTCAGAAAGACCAAAAAAAAAAAAAAAAAAAATCTGTTGCTGCCCAATTGATTCTGACCCGTAGAGACTCTGTAGGACAGAGTAGAACTCCCCATAGGGTTTCCAAGGAGCCGATGGTGGATTTGAACTGACAAACTTCTGGTTAGCAGCAGTCAAGCTCTTAACCACTGTGCAACCAGCACTCCATTTAGAAAGACAAATAGCATCTTAATTGCTCAGACTATTTTCAGAAACCAGAGACGAAAAGCCAAACTTAGTTCTTTGTTCCGCAAGGATACTCCACAAGTAAGAAAGCAGACTCAGTAGAGGATGCAAGTGCTTAAGTCTCATCAGTTTATCACATTCTAAATTAGTTCATGTGAGACATCAATGCTTTTGGGGAAAAAAAGTGTATCTAGATTCATACCTAACTTCACAATAAAAAATAACTTTGAGTTCTAATCAAACGGGAGAAAAATGCAGACCAGAACTTAAAAGTTTCATGGAATTCAGACTTTATGGAGCCACGGAGGCTGGATGAACTCCTGAAACTATTGCCCTGAGAAAACCTTTAAACGTTAAACCAAAAACATCCCCTGAAGTCTTCTTAAAACCAAAATGTAGTTTAGCTTAACTAGCAAAGAACGACTGCCTTGAGCATTATGCTCTTTTAAGATCTATCAATATGGGATCAAAGGAGTCCTGGTGAAACAGCGGTTAAGTCCTCAGCTTCTAGCTGAAAAGTTGACGGTTTGAACACACCAGCCACTCCACAGGAGAAAGATGTGACAGTATGCTTCTGTAAAGAGTTACAGCCTTGGAAACCCTTTGAGGCAGTTCTACTCTGTTCTACAGGGTTGCTATGAGTCAGAATCGACTCGACAGCAATGGGTTTGGTTTGGTGGTTTGATACGGGGTCAACCTGACAATAGCAACTAGAAAGATTAGACAGGAAACTTAGAGGGCAAGAGTTTATGTTAATAGGGAAGGAACAACTCAGAAAAAGAGGGTGAGAATGACTGCACAACTTGAAGAATGTAATCAACGTCACTGAATTGTACATGTAGAAACTGTTGAATTGGTGTTGTTCCGCTATGTCTATACTCAACAACGACAAAAGATAATAAATTATTAAAATAACTTTCTGAATCCCTAGGTTACCTTATGCTGATCCCCTGAAAAACTGCCACTGAGTTTGCTTGGTCTATTCCCATAGATGTCTTCTTTAACCACTCACAGGAAACCTGCTTTCCTGTTTATGAGAAGGCTGCTGTTACGGACACCATCTACCACATCACCGCTATGAAGAACCATCAGAGAAATTTCTGCAGGCCTAAGTGTTATGAAATAGTAACATCCCCCGCTGAACTGGTCTGCTTTCTCCTCACAGACAAAGCATATCACGTAGCTTATCATGCTTCTCTTGTGATGGCTGCTGGAGATATCAGATGAAAGTTGAAAGTTAATGTCCCCACAGGGTCCTGTGCACTCACACATTATGTTCTAACACACATAACATAGTATGAATATGATGAACAGTATATTCCTGATCCTACATTGCCCTGATTGTGAAGTTAGAATCTAAGTTTATTTTGCCCCAGATCCTGCTACTCCCAATTTATAATCTTCTGTTTAACTGTACCGATTTCTACAGGAGTCTACAAATCCACTGGGGAATGAAGGAAAGAAAAGAACAAACCAAAGTCACCTGGGCTTGGATCATTTTCTTCTAAATTTGGGAAATGGTCGCTAACTTGTGTGCTCTGTATTTTTCTCTCCTGGATTAGATCTGAATGTCTCTTCAAAAATCTCAGTCTTCGGTCAAAGGTATTCACAGAACTGACGATGCTGAAGTCTTGGAATCTCTTCCACCTTCCTTCACTTCATCCCTCTTTCTGCTGGGAAGCCAGGACCTGCAGGCTGAAGAGAAAAATAACTCTGAGCACACATTCCCTCTGGGCCTAGATTTTCCCATTGCTGCTGTGCACTCACTTTAAATGAAGGCTCCAAATTATCTATCTCCCCCATTATTTAGTGCTTCAGAGGCTTCTACATCTGGGGCAGTCAAAGGCAGTAGTCTGAATGTTTGGGAAGAAAGCCTTTGTTCTCTAAAGAGGAAACAGTGTGACTGTGAAAGGGAATACGGGAAGAATAAGCACAGCATGATGCCTCAGCAGCAAAGGACATATAGATAGGTATTATCTACACATTTTTCCTTTAAACCATGTGTTCCCATGTACCTCTTCAAAAGTCTTTTTACATCCCCATGATGCACTGCAATTCGAACAACATCATGCTATGCAAATTGTAAGCACTGTTGTGAAATGGTAGTTGTAGTAGTGTCAGAACCTGTCTAACTTCGGGGGAGATAATGAACAGGATCAGCCCGAAGCTGATTCCTATGAGGTGCAGGTCAGACGAACTCCACTCTCCAACCATTTTACCAATTCTGACACAAGCCGTCCCTCCCACGGCACTCTATACTTCTCTGCTGGGTTTGATAATTTGTTGTAATGGCCACAAAGAACTCACGCACCACACTCACAATTATGGGGTTTATTATAGAAGTACCAGGTTATAACTTGGAATCAAGATCAACAGGTTACAACTCAGGTTCAGGATCCGGAAGCATGTAGGCAAAGTCTCTTCTTCAGGACAGCTCTCTCAGCTCCTCTCAGCCGTGCAAGTAAGCAGGCCCTTCTCTCTGCCATGCACGCCCTCTTTTGGGGCCCCCTGATGACAGACTTCCTCTTGGTTGCCTGAGGACAGGCTCCTCTTGGTCTCCTCAGAACAGTCTCTTCTCGGCCTCCTTAGGACGGGCCTCCTCTCTTGGCCTTCAGCTCCCACTCATGCCTGGCCTCTGCCCTGCTCAGTCAAGTGTTACAAAGCTCTTTAGCTCCACCAATAAGTGCCCCAAAGCACCCTACTCCATCAGTAAGCTTCAGCCTGAAGGCGCTCAGTTTTCTCGCCCCATGGGCTGGCAAGCCCAGCTCCGCCAAGTGCCCAGAGGCTCCCCACTCCACTAGCAACTTCCTACCAAAAGGCTCTAAGCTCTCTCACTCCAGGGCTGGCTATACCAACCACCTCACTCTGTGGGCTGGGAAGCCTACTGCACTGTCTCCTGGTTCTGCAGCTGCCAATTCTCTGATGCGATTCTCTTTGTCTCGTGCCTTCTCTGGTGTTACAGCTGTTTTCTGGGTCTAGAAAGTTCTCAGCACAGAGGCGCAATCCACTCCTGGCTCCTCTTGGTGGAAGTGAAGTCCCCCCTCTGCTCTAGGATTGGCTCTCTTTTTAAGCCTAGTGGAATGTCAAAATTGACCAATCCCCTCATTTGGATTTCATACACCTTATTTGCACGATCCCCCTCCCACAGGGGTTCCATGTGCCTTATTTACTTTATTAGTGGGTTGTCAAAACACCTTATTTGCATGGTCCCACCCAATCATTGTGTGGAAGTCACAAAAACTATAGCTAGAAGGGTCATATTAAGCAATTCACTGTGCCACAACTGGCTAAGCTGTGAACAACTTGCTTTGATACTTTTTGTCTGGTCCTGGGCTGCAGCCTGCTCTGTGATTGGTATGCATCTTGCTGGGATTGGTCAATATACTGTGCAAACGAAGTGACTGTAGACTATGCAAATGAAGTCACTATAGCCTACTATGCAAATGAAGTGTTTGTGGCCTACCAAGGAGAGACTGGTCAGTTTGTGGTCCTGGCAGGAGGGTCATGCCTTGAAATTGATAAACATTTTGTGTATATATGCAGCCACCCCCACAGAGGTTTTTCAGACAGGAAGCAGGAAGAAGCAGAAAGGAGAAAAGGCAAGAGAGAAAGGAAGTAAAGAACTTGCTAGAAGAGCTGTAATATGGGTCAATGGCTATAACACTGAAGACACTGACAGGCCTGGAAGGGGCCCAGTGGCAGAGCCAGTGGCAACAGGCCTGGAAGGTGACCAGAAGCAGAGCTGGCAGCGACAGGCCCAGAAGGGGCCCGGTGGCACAGTCAGTACGGACAGATGGCAGGGGGGCTAACAGGAGCCTGTCCTGAGAGGGCTGAGAAGAAGCCTGTCCTCTGGAGGCCGAGAGGAGCCTATACTGAGGGGAGCAGGAGGAGCCTGAGATAGTCACTAGGAGCCTGCCCTCAGGGGGCTGAGAGGAGCCTGTCCCCGGGTGGCCAAGAAGAGCCTGTCCTCAGGGGACTGAGAGGAGGCCTGCACAGCTGAAAGGGGTATGTACAGCAGACAGGGGCCTGCTTGCTTCCACAGCCAAGAGGAGCTTAAAGAGCTGTCCTGCACTGAAGAAGGAAGACTGCCTACATGCTTCCTGATCCTGAGTTGTAGCCTATTGATGCTGATCCTGAGCTGTACTCTGTTACTTCCTTAGTAAACCACTTAACCCTAAGTATGGTCTGTGAGTTCTGTGTGGCCATTTCAAAGGATTATGGAACCCAGAAAAGAAGTAGAGAATGCCGTCTCCTGCCGGTCTCTTCTGCTGCCGTTTCTCTACCACCACTTCTCGTTGTCTTCAGTGTTACAGCTCTCTCTCCTAGTTTCCTGGTTCCCAGAGCTTCTGACCCAGGGATCCCCGGTCCAAAGGACATGCTTCGCTCTTGGCCCTTCTTCCTTGGTGGTGGTGAGAGTCTCTCTTTTTCCGCCTCTCACATGGTTCATTTTAAGCCTAATGGGATGGCAAAAGTGAACAATCCCCTCTTTAGGGTTCCACGTGCCTTATTAGCATGATCCCACCCAAGCATTTGGTGGGAGTTATAAGACCATAGTGAGAAAGGCCACACAAAAGTGATCCATCGCACCATGGTGTGAGTGAGGTCCCCACTTTTTACTCTAGAATTGGTTCTCTTTTTAAGCCTTTGACAGATGGCAAAACTGACCAATCCCCTCGTGAGGGTTCCATATACCTTACTTGCATAGCTCCACCCCCGAAAGGATTCCATGCACATTATTTGCATTATTAACAGGCTGTCGAATCCCCTTGGTGGGCCACAAGTACCTTATTTGCATAGCCCCACCCAATCATTCTGTGGGAGTCACAAGACTATGCATGGCTACAAGGGCCCTAATTAAGCAATTTACTGCACTGCAGCTAGCAACAAAAAAGACAGATTGATGGACAGAGGCCTGGGTAAGATGATTAGATAACTGGTAGAGCTTGTCTAGTAAAATGTTCACAGCAAAATCTATGATGCGTATATGGATGGGAGCTTCAAAATTCTTTCCATATTTCTGTAGGTATGAACATTTTCATAATGAAATATTGGGTGTAGGTAAAGATAGCATAATAATAAGAGTTTAGCATGGTGACCAACATAAAGTGAATATTTAAAATTAATTGTTGTTTTATGCTATTGAAAATGATAAGGAAAAAGAAGTCAGAAAATAGTAAACACATTTACAATTACAACAAAAGTAAATCATCTAGACTGAAGAGGAAAGGCAGAGAAACAAATTCATGGCTAAATGTATAATCATAAAATGTTCCTACAAATGACAACTAAATATTTTAAATTTTTCATCTCTATCCGAAGAAGAAGAACTGATACACCTGAATTATGGTGTTGGCAAAGAATATTGAATATACCATGGACAGCCGAAGAGTGAACAAATATGTCTTGGAAGAAGTACAGCCAGAATGCTCATTAGAAACAAGAATGGAGATACTTCATCTCACATAATTTGGACATGTTATTAGGAGGGACCAGTCCCTGGAGGACATCATGCCTGGTGAAATAGAGAGTCAGTGAAAAAGAGGAAGACCCTTAACGAGATGGATTGACACGTGGCTCCAACAAGGGGCTCAAGCCTAACAATGACTGTGAGGATGGTGGAGGACTGAGCTGTATTTCATTCTGTTGTACATAAGGTTGCTACGAGTCCGAACGACTCAACGGCCCCTAACAACAACAAAAACAATAGTAAAAGCCTAGATTTCCTTAAAGAGACTGTTAGCGGAGTTATGGACATCAAAGGCAATTCCGGTGAGGGCTCAGAAGGAAGTGAGCAGAGCTATACAGAAAGTCTCTGTCATTTTAAAGAATACATATGGTGCCAGCAACAGAATGTTGCTAGAAATGTGGACAATAAATGTGCTTCTGGTGAGGCTTTAAAAGTAAATGATGAACATGGGATTGGACTATGGAGGAAGGGCAATGATTTTATGCAGTGGCAAAGAACTTGTCTGAATTAACGTTCAAAAATGTTTGGTGGAAGGTAGAACTTGCAAGTGATGAACTTGGAAATCTGGCTGAAGAGATTTCTAAGCAATATCTTAAAAGGCGCCACGTGGTTTCTCCTTCCTGCTTACAGTAAACTGCAAGAGGAAACAGACTTAAGCATGAACTGTGCAAAATGAAAACAGAATTTAAAGATTCGGAAATTCTGTTGTACAAACTAATGACGTGTGTCCTAGAACATTCACCAAGGACCTGGCTACACAATCTTTTGTTAAAGACATTAAGCTGGTGACTGATGGATCGAAGCAACTACCAAAGCAGAAAACTCATCAGCTTAGACTGAAGGAGACAGACAAGGAACGAAAGGAAAGGATGCTGTCTGCTTCTTGGAATTCTACGGGCGGGAAACAGGCAAAGGAGCTACATCTGTTGTCCTCCAAGAAAAGAAAAGCACCACCCCTGGAGCAGCTCGGAGATCATCAGAACTGTTGGCAGGGGCACAGAAAGCAGGGCCTTCTCGGTTTCAAAGCTGGGGGACATGGTCTTCCAGGTTTCAAAGAGCAGATCTTTGCCAACTCAGTTCCGGAGTGTGGGGCTGCCATTAGGTTGTGCCAGGAGGATGGGGCCACCTCCCATAGCTGAGACGGCAGGGATGCCAAGCCCAAGCTGCAGAAGAACGGGGCCTGCTGGAGCTGAGGGACTGGGGTTGCCATTCAGTTGGACTAGGAGAATGGGGCTGCCCAGAACCGAGGGAGCAGAGTTGCCAACCACATGGGCCTGGAAGGTGGAGCTAAAGCCCAGGGCTGAGGGGCCTCTACCCAGAATTGAGACAGCATGACCAATACTCAGAGTCTGGAGGGTGGGGCCCTTGCCCAGACGGTCCCAAAATACAGAGGATTATTTTCAAGCCTCGAGAGCTAATGTAAACTACTCTGCTGGGTTTTGGACTTGCTTGGTGCCCATTATCCTTCTTTCCCTATAATTTCTCCCATTTATAATAGAAATGTTTATCTAGTGCCTGTTCTACCACTGTATTTTGGAAACATAACTTGTAGTATATATTTCATAGGTTCACAGATGAAGAGGAATTTTGCCCCAGGAGGGATGCCTAAAGTCTCACCCATATTTGATTTAGATGATTCAGAAGATGAGATTTGGGACTTGGAGTGGATTTAAGACCTTTGGGATGATGTGATGGGTGAATGTGTTTTGCATGTGGCATGGACGTGAAGTTTTGAGGGCTAAAAGGTGGAATGTTATGGATTGAATTGTGTCCCCCAAAATTATGTATTGTAAATGCTAACCTCTATGCCTGTAGTTATAACCCCATTTGGGAATGGGTTGTCTTTTTTATGTTAGTGAGACAGAATGAGTGTAGGGTATGTCTTGAGTCAATGTCTTTTCAGATATAAAAGAGATTAAA